TACACGGAGATCTGGTGGATTTCTTCAGTGCTCCCTTCTTTGTACTCTTAGTCGCCTTTCCACGTGTGACTGTGGCAATCGTGTTTTGCGCTTACCGCTTTCCATTTCCACTCTGGGAACCCTAATTACACCACTTCACTCTAAGCAAGAACAAGCTTAGCCATGACGCTGGAGTTTTCCTACTTTTGCAAAGCATTGCTGTTAATTTGGGTCGGAAATTCACAACTTATCCCCTTTGTAAGTACGGCTGGAAAATCAACCACTTCTGAGCATGGAGCGGCCGAAAGAATCGCGTTTAGATGTTGAACAAGAGGAGAGTCATTGCACTTTTGCGTGAAACTTGTTTCGCCTGATCAATGTTGTGCGCAGTTTGCGTGTCACTTTTGTAATTTCAAGGGTTCACACGAGATTGGCTTTTGAGTTGGGAGGGGGAGAGGGGAAGGGAACGCTTACCTTTGAAATGAAGTGAAGTTGAGTAAGAGGGACGTCTGACGACTATTGACGGATTAGATAACTTGGTCATGGGCAGAGCTTTAGTGGTTGACTGGTAGGATGCTTGCGGCAATTCTCTCACTTTCTAGACAGTTGGGAACATAGGTTTTGGGTAAACACTGACCCTGACTCGAATGTCACTCGTGTTATAAAATGTAGAATCGAGCTCAAACTCAGAGAAGAAATCATACATCAATGTCCTTCTGCCACCAACAGTGATGCGATGTCACCGATGTACAACAGATTTCGTTTTGCGACGCTATCGGTAGAGGTGATGCGTATTAGATATTAGTACAAGGGAGTATAATGTGATATGGATGACAAGTTGTGAGATGCTTTGTTCTATACCATTGCAGTGTACTCTATGATGAGCGAAGTCGAGATCGCCGCATTGCTGGAATGTGCCTCGCAACGCCACCACCAACTTAATGGTAATGTAGTGTCTGGAGGCATTTGCAATGTCCTTCCATGGCTAGCGAACTAGTGTGCATGAGCAGACGGGTGAACAAAGGCATTGGCAGCGTGTTCACTTCAATTGCTATGGTTCCAAATTCATTCGTGATGCGTAGTTAGAGAAGATTGGGACATGGCAATCAAAATCGCTCGTTTTTGGCCAACTGCTATTGTGTTGCCGAATTAGCAGAAGCGGTGCATTAAAAATACTTTCATACCTCGATGGAGGATAGACATTATGCCTACACAAAAGGTGGAGAAATAGACAAAATTTCGGCAATATCTGTCTTGGACTGCAGTGAGAGGCATTTATTGAATATCTGGACAAAGATTTGCTGTTTCCTTCCTCATCTATCAAAGCACCGTTATTCAATTTATAACGTGACCACCCGCTAGGAGAACACACTCGACTACCTACAATCCATCCAATGTCTCCTCTTTTCATTTATAGCTAGCAGAATCTTGTCATCTAGATCAAAGCAGGATTTTTTCACTGACAAGGACCACCGGTAAAAGAGAATGACAAATGAGCTGCTAACACACAATTAACCCCACGATTGTCCTGATTATTTGCTCAAATTACTATCCACTTTCTCGTAGGAACAGCGTTGATTCGTATCTGCTACCTCATCGCTGGATGTCGTGGCAGGTGCTTCCTTTAGGCCCTGTCTTATGCCTCCCTTTCAGGAAGCTCCCTTTTCTGATCTGGGGCAGCACTACTAAAGTAACTCTTGTTTACAAACCCGTGCACACCTCTGGTGGTATGAATTGGAAACCGCACCACGTTCTGGTGAAGAAGAGTTGTGATTAGTGGACATAAATTGGCCAATGTAGAGCTGCCTCATGTTAATTGTCATCCAGGACTTCCAACTGACCCCCACATCCCGACACCTTCACAACGTGGCTGGCTATTTGGCATCGTTCTTCTGCCCTCATCGTATCACCGTAATACTCACGGCGGTTCAGATGATGGAAGAAGGTCATATTTGCATTGTATCGCAGAGCAGAACAAGGTGCTTACTTTGGTAAAGCTAAGCATGGTAGACAGTACCTCGATAGATATGGTCTTGCCTATATGGCAAGCTATTTCCATTGCTAGGAGTAGTGACTTATGTTCCACTGCACAAACCCATAAACGATAACTAATAAATCACAACAGCTGACAGATTGAAGGACTTTAAGTCAAGAGTGAAGTAAATTATTAGCTGAGGCTGGTACGAAATGGGCTACGACACGCCTTGAAAGCATTTCATGCGATGAAGGACACAGTGTTAACAAATCGTATGGATTTGGGTGTTGGAGTTGTCCGTCGTTGGATGACCAACCACTCTGCATTAATTCAGAACAAGCACTGTGGGAAACGACTTGCACGATCTTTACGACAGATCGCTCACTACGACGCCATTAGTCCAATTTGCATTTTCCGTTTATTTCTAAAAGCTGAAACAGACTTATACCTTGATGGTCAATTAAACAGTGTAGCTGAAAAGTTAGTTATATTTTGCTTAGGCTGAAATTTCAATGGATGTGACTCAAATGTGTTTGGTGAGACCTCCAAACACCTACTATTTCTTCTGCATTCTTTCGACCACAAATGCAGATTCTGGACAACGGAGACGGTTATTTCAAGCGTTTAAATTATCCTTATCTACCTTAGCTCTTTTCTTCCCCCTACTGTCATCTTTGTTTTCCCTGTCTCTACCTTTTTCATAATTGCGAAGAAAGAGTCGTCTGTCCCTGTTTTTATTCGACAATTTTTTTTGTCTAGAGCAGGCAGGGAATCCTTCCGCTGTTCCTTACTGTGGCATGTGCAACAGTTTTTCGTTTCAAACATCATTCGGACCTATATAGCAGAGTGCACAAGCCGAATGCCATATTGAGGTGGGCAAGAAGAGCATGATTCACAGTTATTTTAATGTTTTTAACTTGCTTACTTAAAAATGATGAGACACCGCTTTATGAAAGGCATTTTAGCTGCTATACGTCGTTCCTACAAACAGTGTAGGAGACTAGATGTTCTGGTTGGCGTGTT